CCACACCCACACCCACACCCACACCCACACCCACACCCACCCTCTGGCAGATTGAACTTGACTTTTTGTTCAGAGATAGAATCGGCCTGCTTTTTATTGACATCCTCAAATAAAACCATATCTATAGTGAAATAAAAATTACTCATTATGCACCGCAAACCATTTTATTTGAAAAGAAATCATTTAAGAAGAAATATTGTGAAGGTGCACTACAATACGCTATTTTTGGTTTGTTGCTAAGATAAATGATATTATTAGATAACTTCATGGAAAAAACTTTCACCTGCAAATATAGAGAAATTGCAAACAGGATGGACTTGAATTGTGCCACCAATGGAGCTACGTATACACCACTCTTCTCTTCTTCCTGTTTTCACATCAATATTTGCCAAATACGAAAGTCGTTGTGCCTTATCTTTGTCATATTTGAAAAAAGCCAAATTAGGATTATCAGGTTCACAATCATAACTTGTACTTAAAACTTTGACTGTGTCAGCAGCATCTTAAAAATGTAAATAATCAGTATTCGAAAATTCGAAAACAACATTAAACTTTTTTCATCAGTTAACAAAAGGACAGTTTAGTAAACCTTGATCGATGGAAAAAACCCAAGCCAAATCCTTCTATCAAGGCTGACATAAAAGGACAACATCAAAAGGTTTTGGATGTTACATTATCTTAGACTAGAAAACAAGCTTTGAATCAATCGGCTCGTCTTTGCAAAGCCCATATCTTCTTGTTCTTTCGATAAAATTTTCATTACAAACCTACGTATTTTCATGAAGTTGAGTCAATCTTCGGGAGCCAATCGACCATCCATATTGAATCTTTCCTCCTATACCCCCAAAACTCTGGCTAGACTGAACCGTTTGCTTTCAATATTGGATTACTGTATGCTATACTAAGCTCAATTCCACGCTAAAATTTCCAGACTTATCGCTTGTAAAATTGTGGAATTCTATATCAATCTCTATCTGTAATTTGGAGATTTTTTTGACATGAAATGCACCATGCATTTCGGCGTTTGTTTTGAACTAACTAAACACAATAAAAACAGTTTTATGGTGAATCTGGTGACCAGAACGTATTTTGGATTACTACAAAGTCGTCTTTTTGGTAATGCAAAAATACATTCTGGTTACCAGATTCATCATAAAACTGTTTTTATTGTGTTTAGTTAATCCAAACCAAGCACCAAAATGTATAGTGCGTTTCATGTCAAAAAAAAATCCCCAAATTAAAAAATCCCTAAATCAAAATCCATAAATGGGGATTTTATTTGGAAATTGATTTGTGGTAACCAATTTGGGATAAATGATAGACATTCAAATCAAATGCATTGCTTTTCGTGAAGCTCTTGATGCTGACGCAACATTTATAAATAGGCAATGGATTATGGACAAAATTCACCGACCAACTTCATTTGTTTCAGAACGATAGGAATAAACATATGATCAATGCTTTGCTGATTATTCAAAGGTTGGTGCTAAACTTAAATTATCAGAAGCTAGTCAAGATATCATTCGTAAAGCAAGTGGTCGACAAAAAAATAGCTGTTCGATTGTGGCGAAGTAGGTTACAGAGAAGCAAAACGAACATGTCACTCGAAGAACAATTAATAACTATCGCCATAGAGAAGGATTAAAACCATTTCATGTTATTCCAAAATCGTTAAAATCTGAAACTCATATATCAGATCGATTATGGCTGTGCGACTGGTTAAAAGATTGGACTGAAGAAGATTTTCTTCATCTGGCACCATCTGACGAATTTTATGTCTGGACTGTCCGTAGACCAAATTCTCAGAATGATCGAATTTGGGCGAGAAGTGCTTGAAAATATTGAAGAAGATGAAAAATATCGTGAAATAGTAAAACATCAAGCTTGTATTGGGGTTTCTATAATATTTACTTGCAAAAGATTACTTTGGGTTATCAAAGATAAAGGTGAATCTTGGACTAGTCAATACTTTCGTGATATAATTTTGACTCAAAACATATTTCCTGTCTTAAACAATGAAGAAAATGTTGTTGATCCTAATGAAGTTATATTTGTTCATGATAAAGCATCATGTATGCGAGCATATAGAACCCGACATTTGCTTCAAGACAACAATGTTAAGTTTTGGGGTTATGATATCTGACCAGGAAATTCACCTGATTTCAATGTGGCAGAACATATTGAGCCAATAATCAAAGATGAATTTGACAAAAAATATTATCGAAAACTGGATATAATCGATATCTTGAAGACACACTCAAAATGTATATCGTAAATGTTTTAACTAGCATGGAAGAAGATACTAAATTATTGGAAACTCTTCTATGTTCGTATCCATCTCGACTTCATGCAGTAAACAACGCTAATGGTCATCACAATGATTATTGATTATATTCATTAAATAATGAAAAAATAAACTATTTTGTAACACATTTGATTCGGACATCATTTGATAAACTAATTTTCTCATGTCTTATATTGATAAAAGTCATAACTTTTGAGAATTTAATACGTGAAAGTTCTTCAAAGTCTTACTATTTAACATCACTAAATCCCGTTTTTCAGGGCTTTCGTCTGGTATAAAATTCATCATACCTCCTATTTGAAATTATAGCGTTTGCCCCTCTTGAATAATATTTTATTCAACTCAGTAGTAACGGCGAAATTCGGTGTTGTTCAAGTCGATATAAGGGCTGATGAGGACTATCTTTCATATGGCTCCAGCAATCCCATCTTTTGTCCTTCCAATGGTGAGGAATACATAGTGTTGTCGGGATCAATATGGGCTTGTATCAGAAATTAGTGGAAATCATGGCTATTCTACTCATTTAATTATCGAAGGTTTACTTTGACCGAAAATGATTTTCATTGATTCCTAATGAGTTCTCGAGTTTTTAATGACTGCCAACGATTTTCAATGCTTTTGTCACAGCTTTCAGTCATTCATCGCATGCTGAACGCGTTATTAGTAATTTCTAATGATTTTCAGCACGGAAATCAGTTTGTCCTCCCTTGAATAGTATACATGATAGAAACAAATAAAAGGTCAAGAGGAAAACGTCGGATTTTCTGGATTGCCAATCCATGAAAAATAAAAAAAAATCCAGAAAATCTCAAAAAATATTCCGAAATCCACCAGCAATGTCCTCTTGTAAATGAAGGAATTTTGAACTGAAATTTTTGTGATATGTAGGCCTCGGGGTCCTTAAAATATCTCACAAGTTTCAGTGCAAACGGATGTTCCCCTCATAAGATAATCAATTGTCAAGAAAACCGGATTTTCTGGCCGTGCTGTGAACTATGAGTATTCCTTGCAATTGTGTTGTCTTCAGAAGAAAACATCCGTTTGCGCTGAAACTTTTAGGATATTCTAAGGATCACGAGACCTACATGTGGCAAAAATTTCAGTTCGAAGTTCCTTCATTTATAAGAGGACATTGCTGTCGAATTTTTGGATTTTTAAAATCCGAATATCCAAAATCTGCTGTTTTCCCCTTAATTTGGTACTACATAGAAAAGTACAGAAAAGCGACAAAAACAATTTTTCGGATCATAGTACATATCTCATGGATCCACCCATGAGATATTCATTTGAAATGACGACTATATTTACAGTTTTCCTCTTGAACTTCATGTGCGAATCGAATAAAGTTTTTCTTTTAATATTGAAAAGCTTCCTACTGATTCCGAACTAAGAAAAGAAAAAAACATGACTGTCTTACTGTGGGTGTATTCGAAAAAATCATTCGATTCCATAGTGCCCATCTTGGTATGAATACATTGATTACTTTCAACATGCCAAATTATACCTGGATTACCCATAAGGACAAAAAGTGAACTATTGCTTCGACAATCTTCCGCTGCATCTTCTGCTGAGCCAGCACCAAATATGATGAATTCTAAACATGTAATCATATGTATGTTGTCTGAATTGTATGACGAGCAGGCGACCACTTACTGAACGCATTATTCCATATTTCAACTTCTATGGAAGTCTTTGGATTATCCGGTGGTGTTATAGCTGTGGCGCACGTTGTGTTTTGCAAATTCGCACCCTTCGCCCATCGAAATTTGTGAATTTCCTTGTCGCCGGTATCTGTGAATGGCATTAAATCCACAGCAATAGTAAACACAATAAGTAAGAGGAATATACAATTTAAAAAGCCCATCGAATTTCTGAAAGACAGAAAAGGCATAGTACTTGAATATTCGATTTATTGATGCCAATAAGAACACATTATCTATCAGCTGGTAACTACTATCCGTTTCAAAATAGAATGCATCTGACTGTAAATTGAATAACTTTTGATAGGAACAAAATAGAGAGCTGCGGTTTTGACTATTCGAAAGAGAAATAGTGGCCCTACAAATCTATATCAAAATTTCATAGCCTAATAACTGACCAATCAGGTGAGTCTTTTGAAAACATTTTCCGTCCAGTTTTTTGTTTTAACATGGCTAATCGATAGAAAAAATTTTTCTCTTTCGATCTACGCAAGGCTAAGATCTCTAGCTTGTTTCTTTCAAAAGTTATAAGAGCTTCCTGAGACCTCGGATTTTGACCATTTTAGCCTAAATGACTGTGGAAATGGTCAAAACAGATGTAATCAC